GCCTTCAGTCTCTTGCCGCGGCATCAAGGTAATCCTTCACCCACATGCTGCTATAACAAAGTACCTGAGATAGGGTAATTTATAAAGAACAGAAATTTGTTTGTTACCATTCTGGAGGCTGGGAAATCCAAGATCAAAATACCAAGAGGTTCGATGTCTGGTGAGGGCTCCTCTGCTTCCAAGACAGCACCTTATTGGTGAGGGGAGGAGTGTTGAGTGCTCACTTGGCCAGAAACCCTGTCTGCAAGGTCACTACCTCCATCCACAGGGAGGAGCCTCATGGCCTAGTCACCTCACGGCCTCACCTCCTTATACCATCACACTGACCACTAAGTTCCTTTTTCTTTTTTTTTTTCTGAGATAGGGTCTCACTCTGTGGCTCAGGCTGGAGTGCAGTGACGTGACCAGAGCTCACTGCGGTCTTGATCTCCTGGGCTTAAGTGATCCTCCCACCTCAGCCTCCTGAATAGCTGGGAGTACAGGGACATGCCACCATGCCAAGGTCCACCTCAGCCTCCTGAATAGCTGGGACTACAGGCACATGCCACCATGCCAAGGTAATTTTTGAATTTTTTGTAGAGACTGGGTCCCATTGTGTTGCCCAGGCTGGTCTTGAATTCTTGGACTCAAGCGATCCTCCTGCCTCAGCCTCCCAAAGTGCTGGGATTACCGGTGAGCTACCACACCGGGCCTTGGCCATTCAGTTTCAACATCTGAATTTTGGAAGGGACACATTCAAACCATGGCACCCCCCAAATACTCTAAAAACAAGGATCATCTCCACTATGCAACCCTCCCAATGGAGAAATCAGTATCAACACATTGTCCAACCCATAGATCCCACCCAAGCTTCACCAACTGTGCCCACACTTCTTGTCCCATGTCTGGGACCTCCCAGGAACATACATGGCAAGGCGTTGTTACGTCTCCTCAGTCTCATACGATCTGGAGCAATTCTTAGTCTCATCCTGTCTCTTATGACAATCTATTTATTTATTTATTTGAGAAAGGGTTTTCCTGTCACTCAGGAGAGACGGCAGTGGTGCAGTCATAGCTCACTGCAGCCTTGAATTCCTGGGCTCAAGCAATACTCTTGCCTCAGCCTCCTTAGTAGCTGGGACTACAGGCTCATGCCACCATGCCAGGGCAATTTTAAGATTTTTTTTTTTTTTTGTAAAGATGGAGTCTTACTACGTTGCCCAGGCTGGTCTTGAACTCCCAGCCTCAAGTGATCCTTCTGCCTCAGCCTCCCAAAGCGTGAGCCACTGTTCCTGGCTCATGACAGTAATAAAGAAAACAGAATGGCCTTCCTTCTGGGTCTGCCTGATATTCCCTAGGCTAGACTGAGGCCATGGTTTCTGGCAGAAAAGCGTCGGGTATGCTGGTGTGCTCTTCTCAGCACACCACACGGGGACTCAAGTTTCAACTCTTCTCCACTGGTGACAGGTGCCTCATTACCTGGCCACGCTGGTGTCTGCTGGCGTTTCCCACCAGAAAGTCTCAATTTTCCTCTTTGTAATGGAAACGTATGCTGAAGAAAGATATCCACTCTCATTCCTCATCAAATCTCCACCTACCCCCCTGAGCCTCCAATCATAGCTCACTCCTGCAACAACCCCACTACAGTGATTGGTAAATGATGATTTCCATTCTCGTAATTCCTTCTCCATTTATTAGTTCACATTCTACTATAAAGAAGAACCTCCCCTTCTCCACTATTCTTTTCCCTGCATTCATCACTGGTTTATTTACATCAGTGTGGACTATTTTGCTCACTCAGTGGTAATCTGCCAGTATCATTCTTTGTTTTGTTGCTCAAATTGTCTTGGATTTCACCAGCAAGAACTCCCGCCAGCTACTTTCCATGTCCTTTGATCTCCTGTGAATCTCTGAGCACTTCTTCACTTCCTTGAACAACAAAATATTTCAGGATCATCTTGTACTTTCACTCCAGCCCTGAAATTAACCATTTCTCCAAGGAGTCCTGATTCCTTTTGTTGGAAAATCTTACTTAGAATTTAAGATCCAGGGGCTACCTGTGATCATTGGTACTGGGGTACCATTGTGTCTAGATACTCAGCAGACAGAACTAGAAAGTATTTCTGTGTCTATATGCACATATACCTACACACGCACGCACACACATACAACTATCTTTATATCTATCTGTACATATTTTTAAAAATGAGTTCATACTACCACTTCCAGTTCCAATCCAATTCCTCAGTGTTCTCTTTAGCCTTCCCTCTTCCATGCTTTTACCTTCTCCAACAGCAAGAAACCTGGCTTTCACTGTCCCCGGTGTATTTAATTTGCTGGTATAACCTCCAAAAGGAAGAGATGCAGAGCACGTGCTCCCACCCTCCACAATGAGACATATTTAGAGGTGTTGGGGAGGACCCAAAAGCAGGAAGAGTTGAACCCAAGCAGAAGACAGCACTTTCCTCTGAAACCAGGAGGCTGGAACTTCGCAGCTGTGCACCGGAGCACCCGGAATGACACTCCAGAGAAAGCAGCACTTTTCCTTGTTTACAAGACTTTTTCTTGTTACAAGGAAGGGATGGAGGGGTCATGAAAGATCACAGGAGATTGAGGGGTTATAATGTTAGCAAAAATCTAAGAGCCGAGCTGGACCTGCAGTCAGACTGGACACCTGTAAGATTGAACTGTGGTAGGGACTTACAATCTGCTTTCTGCAGGCAATTAACCACAGGGAGTGGCTGGAAGCCCGGGACTCACAGAGAGAAGCTGAGGACACTCGGGCTAACTGGTATGCAACACGAGAAATTCTCTTCAATCTAGTTTACATCCTTGGGTCAACCACTGGATGGCACATGGCACAGGATTTTTTTTTTTTTTTTTTTTTTTTTTTTTGAGACGTTGTCTCACTCTGTCACTCAGGCTGGAGTGCAGTGAGTGGCGCAATCTCGACTCACTGCAACCTCCGTTCCACTGCTTCTCACGCACTCCCGGGTTCACCAAGCAATTGCCTTCCTCTACCTCAGCAGCCTCCGGAGCAGCTGAGGCTACAGGTGATCCGTGCCTGCCCGCCTTGCCAGAATGATTTACCGTTCTTTTTTTAGTAGAGACGGGGTTTCACCATGTTAGCGCAGGATGGTTTGATCTCTGTGGCGTGATCCGCCTCTCACTCCCAAAGTGCTGGGATTACAGAATTTTCGGCTTATGTTTTATGCAGCAATTTATGAGACCACATGAACCTACAATTTACTGAGCTGCAGCCTCCCGGGTTCAAGCAATTCTCCTGCCTCAGCCTCCGGAGCAGCTGAGACTACAGGTGCGTGCCGCCATGCCGAGATAATTTCTCGTTATTTTTAGTAGAGACGGGGTTTCACCATGTTAGCCAGGATGGTTTTGATCTCCTGACCTCGTGATCCGCCCTCCTCCGCCTCCCAAAGTGCTGGGATTACAGAATTTTTTACGGGGCTTATGTTTATGCAAGTCTTTGTAGGACATGAACCTACAATTTTCCAGTAGAGGAAAGCTGCAAAAGAAAAGCTCAGGCTCCTTTCTGTGTCAACAAGGCAATTACTTGCTTTTGTGTTGAGGTTTAGTTTTGAATGAAAGGTGGTGTTAGGAGCATTAACCGGTCGCATATTTACAATCTACATAATATAATTTGCTGCTGCAGCAAACCAGGGACTGTGAAGAGTAAGAAAAAGGAAACCACTTCCATCCCTTGCTTGGGCTTTACTGCCCTTGCCTGGAGTTGAGCGTTTAGACTCTGCAATGTTTTACCTACGTGACATAATCTCCACATACGTAGGCACACAAAATTTTGCAGACACAGGAATGAGGGGAGAGAGATTCCCATGGAAAGGTGACCCTGCTTCTTCTGGGCATTTGTTTACTCATTCAGTACCTGCCATGCCAGTGCCCTACTCTGTTACAAATTCACTAAAAATTTCCTTGGAATTCACTGAATATGCTCAAAAACAGTCAAGTAGGATGTTCTTTGCTACTGTTTGGCTTGAAGTTTCCCTGAAAGAGATTTCAAAACAAATATAATTATCTCGATTGAATTCACTGGAAAATAAAGTGATCAATAGTCGTGTTTTTGAGTTAACTGAAAAATGATCTCAGGAATCACAGCAAGGCCCAAAATTAGTCGTCTGAAACAGCTATTAATAGTTGGCCACAATATTAACACCTTTGGCGATGCCGCGTGGTGCCCGGGGTGAGTTCCCGGGTCAGCGTCCCTTGGGCGCTTGCGGAGGTCTTTGCCCGGCACTACCATACCCCTCAGGGAGGGTTTTTGGGATTAAAGGCATCTTAAGGCCAACAGAACTGTGTGAGAGTTGTCAAGCTCACAACGGAGTCGTTCGTGTTTAAAACCCTGACAAGCAGGGTGGGAAGGGCCCCAGAGGCAGCGTTCTCCCGCCGGAATGCCGGATAACAAGACCATCCCGAGAGACTGCGCAGAAGCCACAACCTTGCACACTGGCTACGCAACCTCACACCGAAAAAATACTGGAGGACTCCCGCCAGCAACGCCCGTCTGCCCTCCGGCGGGCGCCCTCGTCACCGGTCGTCGTGGCCGGGGAGTTACCGCAAACAGGGCCGCCGCCCTCTCATCCCCCCGCCACCCCGGATGCGCTCAGCGGCCGCGCACCCCGACGCCTGCCAGCAGCTCCCAGCGGCGGTCAGTCTTCGGGTTTGACAACTGCAACTTCCCGCGCCTCGAAGAGCGGAGCCACGCACCCGGAAGCCGCCTCGGGAGTCCCACGCCGCGGCGCGACGCCGCGCCAGAACCGCCCGCGGGCTCCGAGGCCACCGGCGAGCGGGGAGGGTGCCCTGTGGGGCTGGGGCTCGGAGAGGACGCAGGCGCTCCCGACCCACGCAACGAGCATTCTCCTTCCTGGTCCCGACTCCCGCCAGCCGAGACACAGCGCCCCGCGTGATGACGTCGTGCGCCTGCCCCGCCCACTCCAGTAGTCGTCGACCCGGCCCACGGCCCGCCTCGCGCGATGACGTCACATCCACCCCGCCCACTCCCGGTGACGTGCCAGCCACAGGCCCACGCCGCTCCCGCCCCGCGTGATGACGTCGCCGTCCCGGGAAGAGGCGGGCGTGCGGCGGAGCCGCGTCCCCTCAGAGGGGCGCTGGCGCGGGGCTGAGCCGCCCGGGATCAGCGCGAGCACCCAGCCCTCCTCGGCCGGGAGGGCAGCGCGGCACGGCGGGGCGATGAGCGGCGCCCGGGGCGAGGGCCCGGAGGCGGGCGCCGGCGGGGCTGGGGGCCGCGCGGCGCCTGAGAACCCCGGGGGCGTGCTGAGCTTGGAGCTGCCCGGGCTGCTGGCGCAGCTGGCGCGGAGCTTTGCGCTGCTGCTGCCCGTGTACGCGCTGGGCTACCTGGGGCTCAGCTTCAGCTGGGTGCTGCTGGCGCTCGCCCTGCTCGCCTGGTGCCGCCGCAGCCGCGGCCTCAAGGCCCTGCGCCTGTGCCGCGCGCTGGCGCTGCTGGAGGACGAGGAGCGCGCCGTGCGCCTGGGGGTGCGCGCCTGCGACCTGCCCGCCTGGGTGAGTGCAGACCCCTGCCCGCCCCGACCCCTGGCCCCCGGTCCCGATCCCTCCTCGTCCAGGCAGGCGCTCCCCTTCCCGCGACCTGCCGCCTGGGCGAGTGCAGACCCCAGCCCCGCCCCGACTCCCGCCTTCGTAGTCCCCCACCCACCCCGGTCCAGGCAGGCGCTCCCCTCCCGCCTGGGCGACTGCAGACCCCAGCCCCGACCCCCGGCGCTGTTCCTGCGACCTGCCAGCCTAGGTGACTGCAGACACCGCCCCGCCCCGACCCCCAGCCCCGACTCCCAGCGTGTCCACGCAGGCGCTCCCCTGCCCGCGACCTGCGCACTCGGGCGAGTGCAGACCCCAGCCCCGCCCCAGCCTCCGGCCCACTCCCTGCCAACCTGTCCGCCTGGGGCCGCCGCCCTCTGCTCCCGCCCGAGTCCTGAGTGCTCCGTGCCTTCCCGCCCTCCGAGTCGGGCGTCCCCCGTCTCCGCTTCCCCGCCCGCCCAGGCTCCGGGTCCGGGGCGCGTCTGCCCTCGCTGTCCCGCGCGGCTTCCTGGAGACTCCTCCTCACAAAGCCCGCTGCCCTCCCCCGGCCTGCGGACCCCGAGCGCCAGCGGCAGGTACCGGGCGTGGCGCCCCCTCTTCGGCCGCGGCGCTGCAGGAACGCGCGCTTCCTTCTGGTGCCGCCCGCGGGGTCTCCTTAGGGGTCTGAGCGGCCGGTTCGGCTCTCAGAGCGCCCAGCGCGATTCTCGTGCTCCTTCCCAAAGCCCTGCCGGCCTGGAAATGCTCCAGGTGGCTTCAGCTTTTCCTGCTCTCGGTTTAAAAAAAAATGTAATGACAGCTGGTGGGGGAGAAGTTAATTTTTTCTTCTACCCGGAGAGGACTCACTCATGTCTTGGTTGTTTCTGACGCATTTAAAGGGCAATGAGTATCTCCCGAAAGATGTGGAGATATTAGATAATTGAAAGATTGTTTCACTTTTTTGCAAGTATAATTGTGAGACTGAGCATTTTTATATGGGGTCGACCTGAATCCAGTGTGAATGTGTGTGTGTGGCACGAAGTTTTGGAAGAGTTGCAGCAATAGCAAGTCATAATGTTATTTCATTTTTAACTCTGGCAGTTCTTTACCTCATATATTTATGGACTATAGACACGAAGAGTTGGCTTCATATCTTTTTCTGGTCGTTCCCTAATTCTTTCTTAGCCATGACTTGGCGTCACAGTTTCACACTGCAAGAAAGAGGATTTTAATGATGCTTCCATTAGGCTTAATGTAAACTTTGGGGTGAAGGTGGCCAGCAGTGGGTTTCGGAAGGGTCATTTTCCCTTAGAGGAGAAAAGGTCCCTGTTTCCAGTGAGAAGTAAAGCATGACACAGATGGTAAACAAGAATTAGAAAGGAGGCGTGCCCAGGACAAGAAGATAGTAGATGCTACTTTGTGACGACAGATTGCAACTGAAGTAAGAATATAATGTAAGGGACTTGGGAATACACAGTTCTACCGATGCGTGGTGATCATGAGGAACAGTCGTATTTGGAGAACCAAGGTAACTGGCATGGTACAGCGTTTTGCTAGCAGTGGGAAAAATCGAGGGTCGTGTAGAAAACGGGAAGTTAGAGGAACCGAGGTGGGAAAAACTTAAGAAGAGGTGCACTTTGGAAATGGAAAAGGACTTTAAAGTGACATTTTGTGTCAATATTACACTACGATGCATAATATTAAAAAGTAGCTAAAAATAGAGTCCATTACCATCCATTACCAAAACAGCAACGTAATCAATGCTGAAATTTGCAGGAAGTGATGATGCTGACTTTCATAGAACTTGGTTATTGGCCAATATCAAATTCACTTGTTAAAAATCTTTGTGAAACACAGATTTTCTTTTCTTTTCTTTTTTTTTAAGATAGAGTCTCTCCCTGTCCCCCAGGCTGGAATTCAATGGCATGATCTTGGCTCACTGCAACCTCCGCTTCCAGGGTTCAAACGATTCTCCTGCCTCAGCCTCCCGAGTAGCTGGGATTACAGGCGCGCCACCACGCCCAGCTAATTTTTGTATTTTTAGTAGAAACAGGATTTCACCATGTTGGCCAGGCTGGTCTCGAACTCCTGACCT